ACTGTTAGCCCAAGTGGTGGCCCTCGAGCCTTTTAGTGAGCCCCTGCTGTATGTCCCTTCTGATCTCCTGGCGAGGCAGGTCCTAAGGTTAATTTCATTTTGCCAAGGCACAGAGAGGGTGAGACACCTGGTCCGGGCCTCATTGGATCCCAGATCCGTCTGAGTTGTTCAGAGCGAGGCTGCTGGGGGTGATAGGGGGGTCCCTCAGGGGACGACACCCAGAGGAGGCCAGCGTCCCTGGTCTGGGGGGAAGAAAAACCTTGATTCTCTGAATTGGAATGATCCTTGTCACCATGGGACTCCATCTTGGCCTCCCTCTGTGGGGCCTCTCTGCCTCCCGGGCTCCCTCTGTCCCTTCTGTGTGTCCCTGTCCCTCCGGCTCCCTCCTTCCTCTCTCTCTGCCTCCTCTCAACTGTCCCCTCCCAGCCAGGACGGGCTCAGGAGTGGACCCCAGGCCTCCCGGGGGCTCTTTGGATCCCAGATGTCCTCCTGCCACCTATCCGTGGTCCCCAAAGCTGCAGCGTGGAGGCAGGGGGACTGGAGTGACATCAGATAATCCTCCTCACCCCCCCCCACGCCCCTCAGGAGGTGAGCAAAGAGCTAGAATCCTGGGGAGGGGATGAGCTGGCGAGGGCTGGTGCTGGGCAGCCTTGACTGGGGCGGGTGGCCCTGCTGCAGGACCCCAGGCCTGGTGGCCGGCCATGTCAGCAGAGGGCCAGGCAGGCACTGCCCAGCATGGACGTCTCCATCCGAGATCTGGGCACCCCCCGCTGGGCCTCCCCAACCTTCCGGCCACCGGGTGATGCTTGTCGCTTTATCAACGCGGCCCCGTGACTGACAACCGCCTCTTGTTACGGGCAGCCCAGCCGCGGGCTGTCAGTGGGGGCAGGACTGGTGTCCTGGCCTCTGGACAGCACTGTCCCTTGGGCTACCCAGGGCCAGGAGAAGGTGGGGACCTCCCCATTGAAGGTGGCAGGGATGCAGCTCAGGATGGGACCTCATGTGACCAGGAGGTTGCTGCTTCCCCGCCAGAGCCACCTGCCCCCAGAGGCTGAGGCAGGAGGATCGCAAGGTGGAGGCCAGCCTCAGCAGCTCAGCAAGACCCTGTCTCTATATAAAGAAGAGGGCTGGGGACGGGGCTGGGGGTAAAAACTCCTCTGGGTTTGAGCCTGGCTCGGCTGCGGGGTCCCCGGGAGATCTGAGGGGACACTTGGAGTTAGGGGTGGTGACCGTGGAGTTGATCTCTGCAGCCTGGCCTCAGCCTCCACCATGGAGGCCTTGGGAAAAATCTGTGCTCCCAAGGCCTGTGTCTGGGGCTGAGGGACGCCACACCGGGCTTGTCCCCTCCTGCCTTTAGAGATTTTTGGGGTACCCAGGATGGCACCCGGGGTGCTCGACCTCTGAGCCCCGTCCCCGGCCCTTTTTATGTCAGGGTTTCGCTGAATGGCTGAGGCTGGCCTCCAACGTTTGATCCTCCTGCCTCAGCCTCCCGAGCTGCTGGGATGACAGGCGTGGGCCACCTTGCTGGCTCTTGGGACCTCCTCTGCTGTGACCCTCTTCACCTGTGAGGCTCAGCAGGGCCCCGTGGGGGCCCAGGAGGGATACCTGGAGGCTGGGGTGTCCCGTGGAGGCGGGAGGCAGCCTCTGGGCCTCGCCTGGTACCCAGCCTCCGGTCACCTGGGCTCCCTGCGGCCTTTATCTGGGGCCCCAGCTGTGGCTGTGGGAGGTGACCGTTTCTTCTGGGCACGATATCGTGGTGGCGGGTTGAGCAACACCCGGGTGCCCACACCCCGGGTGGCCTGGGGGGGCGGGGCCACATGACCTCTGACCTGCAGGTGCAGAGGGGGCAGGTGGGCAGCCACGGGAGACCTAGGGGCCTCCGTCCCTGTGGAAGGCCACCCCTTTGGGCCTCCTCCTGGATCTGTCCTGGCCCCAGGTCCACAGCTCTATGGGGGACCCCCAAGGTGCCCCCAAACTTCCTCTTCCTCCTCGGGGGAGGGCCTCCCCTTCCCTGGGCTGCCCCTGATCCCCAGGGCAGCGGGGAGCTCCTGCAGGAGACCAGAAGCTTCTCTTGAAGTCACTTCCCGGCCGGGCCCAGGGCCACACGCCTGTCACCCCGCGGCTCGGGAGGCTGAGGCAGGAGGATCTCGAGTTGGAGGCCAGCCTCAGCCAAAGCGAGGCCCTGAGCCACTCAGGGAGACCCTGTCTCTAAATAAAACACAAAATAGGGCAGGGGCCGGGGCTCTGTGTCCGAGGTCCCCTGAGTTCAATCCCTGGTGTCCCCTCCACTCCCCCCCCAAAACAATTGCATCCTGTGGCATCTTAGTGGCCTCTGCCCTTCACAGGGCTCATGGGGCCCCCCTCCCCTGGGACCCCCTCCCTGCTGCCAGCCACTCAGCCCTGTGACTGGCCAGAGGACCAACAGCCCCTGCAGCCACTGTCCCAGAGGCTGGGAGGGACGGGGAGCCACGCCTTCCTCCCTGGCTGGAGCCCGCTTCTCGGCCTGGAGGCTGCGAACTCCTACTCGACCTTCAAAACCTTACCCAGATGGCCCCTTGGCGGGGGTCTCCGTCACCCTGGGTGAGGGCCACAGAGGGAGGCCACCCAGGACTGATGTGGGGGCTGGGAGATGGTGGCCAGGGCCCTGCCGTAAGGGAGCTGGACATGCTACATGTCACTTGGCAGGGAGGCCTCCACCTGGCGATCCTCCTGCCTCAGCCTCCGAGCCTGTGTCCCAGTGCCCGGCCCCCCTGAGGGTCTTGGGCCACATGGCGGAGGACCCTGCCTGTCTCCTTGGCTTGGTGAGTCCCTCTTCTCTGTCCTGGAGAACATGCCACCAACTCGAGTGTCCTGGAGGCCTGGGTCCCCACCCCACTCCCACGCAGACACAGGCCAGACCCGGGCCCCCCCTGGGCACCCGGGGGTCCACCCCAGGACGCAGGGCAGGAGCCTGGGAGACCAGAAGCCACCGCGTGCTGCCCGGCCCCAGAGCTTCCCGTCCTGCGCCCTTATCTGTCACAGCTCTATTACCCGGAGCCTGCTCGTCCAGTCTGGTTCCAGGGACAGATAAGCCTTATCTCCTCCTGAGCATTAGCCCGGGGGCGTCCTGCCAATCAGGGCCACCTGTGACCTCACCAAGGGGGCAGGGGCCTCCACGGGCAGGTCCCCAGGGCGTCTCCCTCCACGGCGTCCTGGGAGCGGGGACCCTGGGACCCCAAGGCACCCGAGTTCCCATCTCAGCCTTCTGTAGGGCGCTGGGCGCTGGCCGCGGTCTGCTGTCCCCATGCCACGCCGCGGTGGGTTCTCTGGGGGACAGAAAACACGGGTCTGGGCAGCTGGGCCACGTCTTCAGGATGCCAGGCCCCATGGAGGGGCCACACCCGCGGGTCACCGCACACCCCAGGGTCCCATGCGGGGCTCCTGCTCCCTGTGACGGCTGTGGCTTGCCTGTCCTCCGCCATGGGCCTCCATCTGTCCTGAGTCCACTCTGGGATTTTTTTTTTTAGTCCCAGGGACTGAACCCAGGGACACTCCACCCCTGAGCCCCGTCCCCAGCCCCTTTTTCTATCTTATTTAGAGACAGGGTCTCGCTGAGTGGCTCAGGGTCTTGCTGAGTGGCTGAGGCTGGCCTCCACCTGGCGATCCTCCTGCCTCAGCCTCCTGAGCTGCTGGGAGGACAGGCGTGGGCCACAGTGACCAGCATTTCCTGGGATTTTGGGGCCCGCAGTGGGGTCTGTCGTGGGGATGTGGAAAGGGTGGCTGGTGGGGTGGTGCCAGGTTGGGGGGCTGCATCTCCCCCCGATGGGTCCTGGTCCCCCTGGCTCTCCGTGGGACCCATCTGCTGGCCAGCTCCCGGGATGAGAGGAAGTGGGTGGCCACACTCGGCCAGGTAAGTCCCCTGTCCAGGACCACACAACAAGTGGGTGTTCCTCGTCTCTCTGTCTTTGATAACTGGAGGCCAAGGCACAGGCTGGGGACATGTCCCCGGTCACACGTCCTACACAGGACAAGACCCACGGCTGAACCAGGCTGCTGTCCCCCCTGGGAAGGGCTGGGAGGCAGAGGTCAGGCGCATGCCCCTTGGTCAGGGGGGTGCGCTGACTCGGGGGGACGGAGGGACGTTGGGCTCAGCTCTTGGCACCGGTGCTGCTGCTGGATGCTGTCACCAAAGAAGGCAGGCCCCAGTGTCAGGCTCCTCCCTGCCCAGCAGGTCCCGTGGCGCTTGGGTGGGGCCAGCCTGGGACCCCGTCTGTGCCCTGGTGTGTGGTGGGGGGCTCTGGTCTCCTGGATCAACCCTGACCTGAAGCCCTCACCTGAGCCTCACCTGCCTGTCTCCAGAGCAGAGCGGTCTCTGTGACATGGTGGAGCTGCCTATGGGGCTGGGTGGGCTGAGGGACAGAGGAGCCACGGGTCCCCAGCCCCCCATCTGGCTGGGAGCAGCCGCCTGGTCCTGGGGGGCACAGGTGCTGGGTCGTGTCACAGGGTCCTGCGGGGGGGGGGTGGCCCTGTGGCTGGTGTCTAATTAGCGCCTCCTGGCTCCCGGCCACAGGACGCCGTGTCCCTCCCCTTCCCTCTGCCTGCGGCCCCGAGTCATCTGGTCACAACCTGCGCTGCTCCTGGTTAATGTCATTTTTGGCAAATTAAATCATAACGCGCTTTTACCAGGACCAGAGGAGGCGGCCGCGTCCATCTGCGGCCACCGACAGGGACAGGCGGACGCCTGCTCCGCCTGGACATCTCGGGAGGCTTTGTGCCCCCCCAGTTGGTCCCACAGGCCACCCTTGGCTGAGTCCCCGGCCTTATTAAACGAGGCCCTGAGTGGCTGAGGCTGGCCTCCACCTTGCCATCCTCCTGCCTCAGCCTCCCGAGCCATGGGGCCTGGCCTCCTGGAGATTCTTGAAAGTCCCCTTGGAGCAGAGCTGGGAGGGGTGGGGACACTCCTTGAAGTCACACAGACTGAGACAGACAGACAGACAGACGGACCAGCAGGTGGGCTGGGGCCATGTGGTGTTTATTCACAGCTTCCAAGTGCCGTCCACCTGGGCAGGGCTGGGCCACCAGGCGGAGGCCAGCTCTGGCCACAGCCCTTTCCCAGGCGGGGGTGGCCGCTGTCCCCGGGGGAGAGGGCGCAGGGGACCAGTCCCAGGCCTGGTCCTGTCCCTGGGCCGCAGCCCCGTGGGGTGGGGACAGCCCGGGAGGCAGAGGCAGGTCTGGTTGGGCCCACGGTGGCCTGGCCTGGCCAGGGGAGGGCCTGCGGGTCACCTGGTCCCTCAGGGGGCCTGGACCATGCGTTTCTGGGTGTCGAAGACGTAGCGCTTGAAGGACAGGCTGAGGGTCACGTGCTGCGGGGGCTCGGGCCGCTCGGCGCCCTCCTCCTGGCGGGTGGCCTCCCCGGGTCCCCCGCGTCCCCTCTTCTTGGGGACGGGCGTCAGGATCCGCTTGGCCTCGGGGCTCAGGCCACCTGCAAGCACAGAAGGGGCCGGTCACCGCCACCCCCAGAGGCCCCGGGAGGGACGGAGGGGAAGAGGTGGAGGACGCAGCGGGGGACAGAGCGCGGTCCCCTGGTCACCTGGGGTCCCCTGGGGGTGGGCACTGTCCTGGGTACCCGGGTGGCCTCTGCAGCCCTCTGTTGAGAGCCACAGCCAAAGGGGCCCCAGAAAACTTCCAGCTGCCAGCAAACTCCCAGCTGCCGGCTGATGATTGGCTCACAGTGGCCCCAGCAACATCTAGCTGATTGGCTCCTCT